GGAGAGTAGGGCTCAAGTAGTGGAGGCGGGGATCTCTCAGAAGTGGAGTGCACTTTGTGCTGAGAGATCCCCGCCTCCACTCCTGCTTGCAAGCCAGTAGGAGCAGGATCGGGCAGCTCATCTAAGGAGCGCCTGGCTGCTTTCAGGTGGTGCAGGGGCTCTCAGATCCACCTTCCCCAACCCCAGCAACTATTTAGCCTGGCTGCCTTCACGGGGTTGCAGGGGATCTGATGCGGAGGTGGGGGCTCCTTTAAACTTCTCTCCTTGAGGGGAGTGTAGCCGCGAAACCCCTCAATGGAAAGTGTGATGGAGCCTGCACCTCCCCAGTTGAGCAGCCCCAATCCAGCTCCTGTTCCCATGTAAGCAGCAACACTGCCTAGCGGAGCAGCCCGATCCCACTCCTACTCACCTGCAAGTAGGAGCAGGCGGGGGTGGCAGTGGCAACATCCCTTGCCTGCTCGCTTTCTGCCCTGGCCCAGCCTTCCCTCACTCAGTGCCGGAGCTGCCAGAGCTGGAGGAGGGGGTGATTGATGTTGTGGCTGCAACGGCAGAACCCAGCATTGGAGGGTGGCAGGTGCCTTTCCTCACTAGGAAAACAGAAGTGTGGCATTCAAAATGGAAGTTATACTCAGAAGAGAGCATGTTCAACTTCCGAAAAAAGTTCCAAAACTGGAACACTCATTTCCAGGTTTGAAGCGTTCAGGTTCCAAGTAGTTCAAGAACTAAGCTGTTTGAAAACTGAGGTACCACTGTATTTATTTTCCCCAATTTGAACTGTATTTATTCCACCCCACCCCCCGTGGTGATTTTCTTGAGTCAAAATGAGAGTACCTCTAAACATTTATTTTAGAAAAAAAGCACTGAGTTATACCATAAAATTGGTATATATCAATGGGAAAATAATTTAATGAAGAATGTAATGCAATAACTTTTAAGAAGGATTATTTATTACAACAGCAGTCATAAAGAAGAAGCATGAAACACACAGAAAAGAAGAATTATGACCAATAAGCAAGGGAACACGCCAAGGCTGCCCGCTGTCTCCTTTAATATTTATTTTGATCTTGGAAGTACATTGGTACCTTGTTTTGAGTCCAGTATCTGTTCCGGAGCCCTGGATGCTCAACGAAAGGGACCCTAACCCGACGAAAGGGACTCTCGACAAAGTGCCGCTCTGAGCACGCGTGTGGAGCGGTTTTGTGCTTCTGTGCATGCTTGAAGTGTGATTTTGTGCTTCTACGAGTGTGCGAGTGGCAAACCCGGAAGTAACCCATTCCAGTACTTCCAGGTTTGCCGCAGATGTTCCATGAAATGGATGCTAAATGGGGCGGACTCAAAACGAGGTACCACTGTATTAAATAAGATGATATGAGAAGATAATATGATTAAAGGAATAACACTAGGAGAAAGGGTGTATAAAGTGAAGGCATTCGCTGATGACCTGCTGGTGATGACAGAAAACCCTAAAGAAAGTCTTCATAGATCAATTGCGGTGATGGAAAATTTTGACAAGGTGGCAGGCTTTAAATTGAATAAGACAAAAACTAAAATATTAGTAAAATATATAACAAACGAAGAAAGAGCAGACTCAGAAAAAACATCAGGATTAAAGATCTGCCAAAAAGCTAAATATTTGCACATTTGGATATCCTCAAAGAATATCAACTTATATCAGGATAATTATGTCCCAGCTTGGGCTGAAATCAGAAGAAACTTGGATACCTGTAGCAAATTGAAATTATCCGTTTTAAGAAGGATCTCTATAATAAAAATGAATGTGCTCCCCAAATTATAATTCCTTTTCCAATCAATCCTGATACTGGGTGGGACAGACCGCTTCAGGGAATGGCAATGATACACTCAAAATTTATCTGGCAGGGGAAGAGGCCTAGAATAAGACATCAAATACTCATTGACACTAAGGACAGAGGAGGCTTCTCACTGTACTATGAGGCAGTCTGTCTCACCTGGTTAAGGGAATGGTGTATACAGTGGTACCTCGGGTTACATATGCTTCAGGTTACATACGCTTCAGGTTACAGACTCCGCTAACCCAGAAATAGTGCTTCAGGTTAAGAACTTTGCTTCAGGATGAGAACAGAAATCTTGCTCCGGCGGCGCAGCAGCAGCGGGAGGTCCCATTAGCTAAAGTGGTGCTTCAGGTTAAGAACAGTTTCAGGTTAAGAACGGACCTCCAGAATTAATTAAGTACTTAATTAAACCCGAGGTACCACTGTAATGGGGAACCCAGACATTAGATCTTGAAGGATTCAATATCAGATATGATTGGCATGCATATCTGATTTATGAAAAAGCTAAAATACACAAGGATTTTACCAATCACATCATTAGAAAATCCTTATTTAAAGCCTGGGATAAATATAGAGACCTTCTAGAACAGAAGACACCATGGTGGATCTCACCAACTGAGGCATTAGCCATAAAGAGGAAAAATTCAAGTAGGAATTGGCCTACCTACCGAACATTACTTAAGGAGGAAGGAAACCAATTAAAATTAAAAACATTTGAAGAAGTAAGGGATCAAATGAGTGACTGGTTTCAATACAGTGGTACCTCTAGTTGCGAACTTAATTCGTTCTAGAGGTCTGTTCTTAACCTGAAACTGTTCTTAACTAGAGGTGCGCTTTTGCTAATGGGGCCTCTAGCTGCTACTGCGCCGCCAGCACACCATTTCCGTTTTCATCCTGGGGCAAAGTTCTCAACTCTTCCAGATTAGTGGCATTTGTAACCTGAAGTATTTGTAACCTGGGGCTTTGTAACTTGAGGTACTACTGTACTATCAATTGCTTGAAAGATTTAAGGTTGACAAAAAAGAGGTTTGAGGTAGAAAATACAAGATTTGAAACAGATGTCATTAATTCCAAAATTAAAACACTTTCTAAGGCTTACCGACTCCTCCTTGACTTCCCAGAGGAGGTTAAGTCGGCTATGATTAAATGGGCCCAAGATCTAGGCCACACTATACAGATGTCCCAATGGGAGAATTTGTGGAAGGTAAATTAGAGGTTTACTGCCTGTTACTCCATAAAGGAAAATATGCAAAAAATGTTATACCGGTGGTACCTGACCCTGCCCACCTAGAAGTTTGAAAGCACGTCAAAGTGCAAGTAGATAAATAGGTATCGCTCCGGTGGGAAGGTAAACAGTGTTTCCCTGCACTGCTCTGGTTCGCCAGAAGCGGCTTAGTCATGCTGGCCACATGACCCGGAAGCTGTACGCCGGCTTCCTTGGCCAGTAAAGCGAGATGAGCGCCGCAACCCCAGAGTCAGCCACGACTGGACCTAACGGTCAGGGGTCCCTTTACCTTTACCTTTACCTGACGCCACATATACTCTCTAAGAGGTATAAAAACACACCAGATGTTTGTTGGAGATGTGGGGAAACAGGAGGCACCATGTTTCACATATGGTGGACCTGCTGAAAAGTCAAAGAGTTCTGGAATGACATATACTCAGAACTAAAAATAATGCTAAAGGTAAATTTTCCTTAAAAACCAGAAACATTTCTTTTGAGTATTACAGGTACAGATATCCACAAGGGCTTAAGAAAAAATTTTCTGTACACAACTGCGGCCACGAGGGTGCTTATTGCGTCATATTGGAAAAATGACAAACTTCCTACTAGAGATGAATGGTTACTCAAACTTACAGAATATGCAGAATTGGCCTCTCTTTCTGAAAGAATCAGAGACAAACCTAGACAGGAGTTCATTCTAGAATTGGATAACTTCCAGAACTACTTGAAAAATAGTTGTAATGTAAGCACAGTAGTTCCCTTTGAATGATTTCTGTAAATGATATATATAAAGGAAAATGACATCAAAATAGAAAAGAGAATTTTTACAAATAATAATAACAAATTAAAGTAATATGTTTATTACAAAGCGAAACATGGAGAGAATGGGAGGTTTTATGTTTGGGTAGAAAACACATAGTTGAAATTATATGTAATTTTCTTTGTGAGCATAGATATCCTTATTGGACTGACTGAAATGAAGATAACTACGTGTTGTATATACATGAAAAATGATTACTAAAGCTTTTTTTTTAAAATGAAACACACAGAAAAAATGAGATATACAGGTTAAATTGCCGTGTTGACACTTTGCGTTAAATAAGTGGGTTTTGGGTTGCAGTTTGGGCACTTGGTCTCTGAAAGGCTTGCCATCACTGACATATAGCAATAAAACTGCTAGAGGCCAGTATGGTTTCAAACATGTTGGACATGTTGGGGGTTGGACTAGATGATCCTCAGGGTCCCTTCCAAGTCCACAATGCTATGGTTCTATAACATTCTCTTTTAAAAATATATATAATTTTTATTAATTTGTCATGAATATGGGCCACATTATTACAATGTAACATTATTACAATGGGGTCACGAAGAATCGGACACGACTAAACGACTAAACAACAACATTACAATGTCAAATCATACCAAATCATAATACAATTTATAAAGCCAATTATACATTCCAAATTAAACAAATTTAGTGACTTCCTGTGTTATGATAGTCCGGAAATAATTATTCCTAGGTCCTGCGCATAGTCTTATCTATAATCCAAATACAGCAATTCCAATCTTGATCCTGTCTTCTGTTTTTGCAGCCACTGGTATAATGACTTTCACTCATATTCAAAAAATCCATATCCATTAACTTGCAAGAGGGATTTAAAGTCTGTTGATTTAAAGCATGTTCTATGACATTCTCAATCCTCAAAACAAAAAAAATTCCTTCCAGTAGCACCTTAAAGACCAACTAAGTTAGTTCTTGGTATGAGCTTTCGTGTGCATGCACACTTCTTCAGAACTTAGTTGGTCTTTAAGGTGCTACTGGAAGGAATTTTTTTTTGTTTTGACTATGGCAGACCAACACGGCTACCTATCTGTAACTGGAAATTCTCAATCCTGAAATCAGAAGTAGCATAAACTGTAACTTTCACATTTAAAGCTCATTTTCACTCTATTCTGTACTTCAGCACTTACGAGAAGCAAGTTCTTCTCAGATGGATCGGACTGACTTCTTCTTCTTTGGCGATCCCTCATAGCCGAGTAAGATTGTCTTCCAAAAACACGGATTTTAACAATGAGTCCTTAGGTGACTGTGGAGGCCAATTATGGACCCACACATCCTTCCGCAGTGGGGACATTGGTTTCCTGGTGGGAGTTGATCACAGTGAGGGTTTGCCAAGTGTGCCTTCCTCTTAGCACGTTTCTCCCTTGTGTCCTGAGTTCGAGTGTCAGCTACAATTCTACATTCTACAGACTTTCTTCCAATAGTCTAATTCAATTGTAACAACAATTTTGATTTTATCTCCAACTTTTCCTCAGAAAAGTTATTTGCACAGCTCTTTTCATGGGTCTTTGTGAAATGCTATTTTATAACTGCTGCAAGTAAGACAGCGACAACAACGATTCACATATTTTTTATTGTTTTCCTTTCTTTTTTCCCTATAAGCAGATGAAGTCATCAGATATTGACCAGGAATTATTCACAGAAAGCTACTGCAAAGTGTGCAGCGCTCAGCTAATATCAGAATCGCAGCGTGTGGCTCATTACGAGGTAAGAAACATCTGGAGGGCTGCAGTACCTCTGGGCTACAAAGAGGTCTGTAAGGGGTGCTCTCAAATATCTCTGATTTTCCACTGCTCAGTGCAAACTTTGTACAATTGCTGTTGTGAATAGGCATTCTCAATGGGCAGCAGGGTGAGAATCTTATTGTTGGATCCACAAAAAGAAAATAAGGAGAATGGGTAGGATCCAGAGTAAGGCTGTGCACACAGCATACATTTAAAGCACATGACTTCCACCAAAGAGTCTTGGGAACTGTAGCTTGTTAGGGGTGCTGGGAATTGTAGCTCTTTGAGGGGTAAATTATAGTTCCCAGGATTTTTTTGTGTGGGAAGCATTGTGCTCTAAATGTGTGATGTGTAAGCAGCCTCTGCGAATTGGTCTTAGGTCCCACCGAAATCAATGGGACAAATTATTCATCCTGACCTAAGCCCCATTGTTTTCAATGGGAACTAAAGTCACCTAAATTTGGGTGCAGTTCTATGACCCTGGCTCCCAGGAACATGGGAAATCTCAGATATCCTGCTCTGACATTAGAGATTATTTTATATCTGCTGTGTGTGAGGCTGCAACATCAGAGAATGAGATGCAATGGTGAATTCTAACCTCCTGGGCCAATTGGCATCTGAGCAGTGACAAGAGAGCCCAAAGGGGTGTGTGTGCCCGTGGGGTGCCAGGGGAGGGGTGAGAAATGTCCTTATGCAGCAGGGAAAGTTGGATATTCCTCCTGATTTTTCCTCCAACCTCATTTCTATCCTGCTGGCATTTGGATGTGGATAGTTGAACTGCCTTCCTCCTGGCAGCCAATGCCCATTCATCTGAAAGTGAGCCCCATTAAGCTCAATAGAACTCAAATTGGGTAGCCTGGCTCCATCCCTGTATATGCTGGATTGTACAGGGATGTATGTTTAGGGATGGTGAGCATTTAAAGCAATTGGAAAGTTTATTTGTTTGGAAAATTCCATTGCAAAATTTGGAGATGTATGAATTTTGAAGAATAGCTACATTTCATTTCATATTGTTTTGGAAAGTGAAGATTATGTAATTTTGCATTAAGATGTCAACTGAACTGAATATCTCATTCATCCTCAATGGTGTGTCAGATGTTTTCAGCATTCTATTATAAATGTTAAAAATTCACAGGCTGAACATACATTCAGGGTTTTTGTGTGACTGTCTGCTAAAAGACATGTTAAAGGGTGTTATCAACTGGCTATAAAACATGTTGCAACACACTTCAGACTTCATTGTAATGATACAACTGAGAGCATGTCTGTCCTGATGACCAGCAGGTCATGGCTTGAGCGAGGGGTCCCTGCGAAGCGTGAGCAGTGGGTTTCTATATGTTTTGCTCCTCCTGTTTCCACAAACCTGTCCTGGTCTGCCTGGCAACTTCAGAACAATATGACCAAGAGAAAGCGTTTGGAAGGAGCCCTTAGAATGCTGTATTGATGGTGTCATGTGACCCAGAGGAGAGACTGGTCATTGATGAGTGACACTAATGGAAACAAAAGGGCATTTGACTGTAGGGGTGACTAATTTGATTCAGTTTGCAATCAAAAGTGAACTGAATTCACACTTTCTGAAATAATGTGTAAACCAGAACAAAACCATCCTTTGAAATGTGCACTTCTATGAATTTCTCAATGCAATTATCCAACCAAGTAATATGTGTAAAAATGCATATACTAGGGTAAACTGTGGATAAACATCTACATATTGGTGCAAATAGCAGCCAAAAATACATTATATTAGGGGGAAATCACTATGGGAAAAGGTGTGTTTTATGCAAAATTGTATTAAGAAATGGGTATATAAAATGGGATCCTGGTTGGGGAGGGGATATAAATAAATATTAACTATTAGGAGAATTTTGCGCCAAAACGCTGATCATTTTCAACTGACTTTAAAAATAAATCTCATGTGGAAATGCTGAGAACTGAAAACTGACAGAAACCAAAATTGACAGATTTGCCCATCTCTGGCTGATGGTTCTGGGCAGCTGGAATGCAAATCATATCCACCTGTGGCAAAGTGGAATGGTGGTAAGCAGCAGCTTTTTATTGGGCTGGCAGAGAGGCAAGCTGGATGACAGCGGAGGAAGAAGCAGGGTTACTGTGGTTGTGGAACTCGCACCAGCTGCCTGAGTACTGGCTTCTGCTCCCTGCAGTGCCTGCTCACGCTAATGTTGGGACACCAGCAGCTTGTGACAAAGCCAGCTTGCACCTCCTGTTCTCTCTACTCTGAATTGCCCACGAAGGAGGGAAGGGTAAAATACAAATGGGCGGGGGGGGGCTAACTTTTGTAATCACAGCAGAGGCAATAACAGGGGTGTCTGGCCTTCCTTACTGCTAATCACCCAAACTGGTAAAACAAAGGAATGCATGGGGAAAACTGACCTAACAGCTTGTCTTTGTCATAACTGATGCTAATTAATGTAAATTAATGCCACCAACAAACAGACAAAAAGGAGCGATTTCATTTTATAAAAATTTTATTGCAGGATATGCTGTTCTCTAACTCAGGGCTGGAATAAGACCTTTAGAGGCCCTAAAGCACTTAAAAGATTTTGGTGCCCCCATATATATCTAATTTTAAATAAGAAACCATAAAATAAAATTTTATTTTCCGAAATGAAACAAAACCTACAGTACAGTGGAAAAAATGTTTATTTTTGTATACTTCCCCTTTATTTATACTTGAAAAAATTCTGTACTTTTCTAATTTCAAAGTGTTTGATCTGATCCTCAAAATTAATCTTACGTAATGCATCTGGTTCTATACTTAGCAGAGGTAAGGCATCCAGCCTGCCTTGTTGCACAGTTGTTCTGCTGGGATTTTTTATATTCTTCAGCTGAGAAAATGAATGCTCAGCTGAGCAATTTGTGACCATTAATGTTAAAAATCCAGCAGTGGAAAGTTTCTGTGGTGCCCCCTTCCCTTGATGCCCTAAGAACCTGCTTATTTTGCTTGATGGTTCATCCAGCCCTGCTCTGACTGCAAAGGAAGTATCAAATTCCAAGAGCAACACCTGCTATTCCTGTTTTGGAAGACAGCTAAAGAGAGAGAGAAAGAAAGATACCCTCACCTCCCCACCTGAAACAGACCTGCATCATGGGGACAGTTTAGTGAAGAATGCTATAATCTCACAATCAGTTTTTCTGCTCAAATGCTCTCTGCTGCCAGATCATTGTAAAAAGCACTGATTGTTTTCATTATCAAGAATAAGCCTAATGACTGCTACCATTTTTGCTGCTCTGCCTGAGCAATGTGGATTTTCTTGGGGGAGGTATGTGGAAATGGGGGTGGGTTTTTCCTCCACTCAGTGGTGGAATCCACTCCCTATTCCTGCTGGCTCTGTTTTTCACCCACCCACCCCTTTCTTTACGCAGATGATGCTAGAGAAACAGCAGAAAGAGTTATCCTGCATCTCAGGGATGCCAACTTGAAAATAGTGGGGGGTCCAGGTCACACACCATTGAAATACAGCACACACACCCCATTGAAATGGCAATGCCCATCCACCTGGGGGGCGGCCCTCTCAAATATTTTTGCAGGGGGGTGAGGGTGATGCATCCTGATCTCAGTCTGGCATCTTGTGGATGAAGAAGTGGACACCCATCTGCTGCTAGCTTCTGATTCAGTTCCAGATCCATTTCATAGAATCATAGAGTTGGAAGGGACCACGAGGGTCATCAAGTCCAAACCCTGCAATGCAGGAATTTTTAGAAAGCTAGCTCTTTTTAGAGCACACGACTCTGAGATTAAGCGTCTCATGTACCGCCAGCTGAGTTATCCCATCTCTTCACAGCTTGGGACCACAGTGCCTAATGGAAGACCTTCTCATTCTCCCATAGATGCCATGCTGTGTCTACGGATGTCCTCCTCCATGTGCATTTAGGGGGTGGCCTTTTCTGTGGTTTCCCCACAGCTACAGAAGCTTGCTTCTGAAGCACCAGTAGTGAGTGCAAAAGGGTTCTCTGTGCAAAACGGAGGTGGTGGATCCTCACCTGAAGAAATGAAAGCATCTGTTGCCAAGTTTACCAGGAGGGAGAATTTTGTTGGAAAGGAACTTTTGTTCTCACCAGGACTAATAAGTGGCTTTTTATTGGTAGTTTGTAGGGGGGGGGAATCAGGTCCAGAGAAAGGCATTTACATTCCCCCTTGCTTCCCCCAGGTAGAAAGTTAGTAATGCCTATTATGGAGGCCATCTATAAAGTGTTCCCTTTCTCCAGCTTGCAAAATTCTCATGCTTTCAGCAGTTGCCTATAAAGTGAAACTCAGTGACAGCACACCTGAGCTCCTCAGCAACGGAGGACAGTGGTTGTATCCAATCCACACCCCTGGGGCAAAGAGATTTGTAAAAAACATAAACAACCAAGTTTTTAAAAATGTGTTGTTTCTAAAGAACAAAGAACACCATCTGCCAAAGACTTTACTCGCCTCCCTGTCCACTGTGTCAAATTTCCATAGCTGATGTAATATACGTACTTAATTATGTAAATTACATTGTTGTTGTCAGAGGCTTAGTGCTGTCCAGCTGGCCATAGATAAGACTCCGGGCTCCCAGCCAGTTCCAAACAATTGATTTATTTGACAAAGTTCAAACGTACATCTCCAGTGTTTCCATTAACCTCCTTCCCCTTGTGCGCAGTTGCTCCCTCTAATGTTACTTCCTCCTTTTCCGCATCCAGCATGCAAGTCTGCGAAAACTCCTCCCCTTACTTCCTCTGTGTACAGCATGACTTGTCCCAGGCTCCTCCTCCTCCCCCTCTACGTCAGACTGACTGTCAGACGACAAGCTGCTGATAATCTCTTTAGGCTCTCTATAACTGCTGGTTTCTGTCCTTTCATCTTTTCCCGCTTGCCTCTCCCTGACAGTTGTTATCCCACCCCTTTCATTTCAGTGCAAATAAATGGGCTGCAAATTACATAGAGATGTCATGACACTTTCCCCAGAAAGACAAAATACCAAAAGCAACCCCACCGCC